CGTCTTAGGGTTTTTGAAAATAAAGTATTGCGTAGAATATTCGGACCGAAGAAGGATGAGTTAACCGGATAGTTCAGACAGTTACACAACGCCGAATTGCGTGAACTGTATCCGAGTAATATAATTGAGATAATTTCATCGCGGCGAATCAAATGGGCTTTTAAAGTTGTTGGACTTAGTAACGAGAGAATTCTTAAAAGGTTAATATTTGCTGTGCCGAATGGTAAGCGTCCGAGGGGTAGACCGAAGCGAAGGTGGGAAGATTGCATTAAAGCTGATCTGAAGGGACTGGGTTTGGACGGCGAACGGTGGAGGGAGGTGTGTAATAAGCGATTGGTGGTGTCGGAATCGAACCTTCGGGTTCGCTAAGCCTTTTTTTTTTTTTTTTTTGTAATGTCTTACTCATAACAATATTGTTCAAAAAAACATATCATACAGTTAACCCTTTAGTAACAGTTAACTCTCCAGTGTGATAGTTTCTGATACAACTGTTTTGGAAATTTGTTCAATCGAATGTTTTTCATCATCAAATTTGTATGTACCTTTTTAAATATTAGTATTAACTTTTTTATTTGTTCGAGTTCTTGACTACTATTGTAATATTAACAGTCTAAGTCTGTATGATAACTCTCATCAGAGAAAGTTCACTTCTACAAAAATTTGTTGAGGACAAAAAACAAAAGATAAGATATTAAAATAATAAAACAAAGTAAGTGGTTAGCGATAATTAATTCGAAATGCTTGGATGAAACTTGCAGCAGGTCTGTAACAGAGACCAACACTTTCCAAAATAGATTAATCAATGAATGTTATAAACAAATCCCGAATTTATATGAGACACAAAATACTGAAATAATCCTTAAAAATTATCAATTAATTAAAAAATATGACAAGATGCTACCAAATGAAGAATGAAGTAGTAATGAAATAATATCAGGGAATAAATACCGGAGTAATAACATAAATGTAAGGCTTTATAATGGAAATTGGTTTTATAAATGAATTGTAGCTGTGATAATTTAAAGATTTTCTTTGAGAAGGCACCGTACATAAGTAACAGTAATTCAACCTGGACCAGATCTAAGATTTTCGCGGGGGGATGTCCAAAATTAAATTTATCTCTTCTTTAGCAAAAATTATCACATTTACATATGTTTCCTATTTTATAATAAAAATTAACAGACTCATAATAGTATTTTAGACTTAAAAATAAATTTGACTTTGCCAATAATTCCCCACACTCTTCCCCTGGTTCGGGAAATTTCCGTATAACCTAAGAGGTGAAGAAGAGGTGGACAAAAAAAAAAAAAAAAAAAAAAAAGATTTTTGTTTGTTTTGATTAAAAAAATGTAAACAATCATCTTATTGTTGAAATAACATTTTCGACAGCTTTCTTAAATGTACAATTTATTCCTTTTCTTACTCTTATATATAGTTTTCGAGATATCAAGATATGCAATAAAAGTAATCGACTTTGCTTTAGAATGTATGAAAAAAAGTTCAAAATGCTCTATCTCTGCTATTTGTGGTCTCATTTAAATGTTTTGCTTTTTTCATTAGTTTCATTATCTTCCAGCGATACAGTTAATAGTCTCGGATGGTAATGTTGAGTGGGTAACCATCCTCGGTTGATATCTGCTTTGCTTCCGATTTTAAAAACAATCTACCCAATAGTCTCGGAGAAAACCTGTAAATATGTATGTACTAAATTTTTCTTATTGGATTTTCGGACTCTACGTATGGTAAAACGCAAAAACTCCAAATTTGATGGAAGGGTTAACTTTTCTTTTAATGGTCGATTTAAATGGTTCATTATTGAAAATAATAAACCAAAACGGCAACACCATTCACAAAACAGTTAAAATTAATTCCTAATAGATTTTTTTATCTATAGAGTTCATCTTTACGTTTTATATTTTTTCATCCTATGAATTCTTCAATGAGGCAGAAATTGTTTGATCCATTTCTTACAAACCATATACATCCGAGGAATCGCAGAATAACAATACGTTGTAAAAAACTTAAATTAATTTCTTCTAGCTTTATTATTCATCCCGGTCAAACAGAACAGCTACAATATTTTTCTTCAGTATAAGCAAACAATACCTGCTTCCCGTTAGCCCTGAGATAAGAGCCTTCAGTGAGGAACTGCTAATTACCACTAGTTGAACTAACAAACAAATTATGCTGACGTGGAGATTAACGACTGAATATTAATTTGGCCGGGAGAGGGATGCGCTTGCGCGGTCACGAACTATTAAGTGAATTTAACTGAAATTCCCATATAAATCGGAGGAGGCGGCCTGGATTCCGGCCTGATGGGCCTTTACGTCGTGATGGAGTGATTTCGGAAACCCGGCTATTACCTGGCCAACGGTCAGCTATACATCAGCTCTCACTCGCGGCAGACTTTGTAAATTGTGGGTTTTACCGTGGGGGGAGGGTGGAACAATAAGGATAACATACAGGTCGGACTGACTAGGAAAAGAGTTCAAAACAAAAAAAAAAAAAAAAGAATTACGAACGAGCGGCCGCAGAGGGGTAAAGGATAGCCTTTGGAAATATTTATCCTTTGCTGGACGCGTTTTTCACCCGCTTTCCCTCTCTCCGTTCCCCCGTGCTTCAAATATTTCACCTTGTCTGCTTTAAAGCGACGATCCTAGATTTACTATAATTTGGAGATTCCACTTCACATTTTCTTTTACTATCCAACCACTAGAAAAGGGTGTATTGTCAATCGGGTCGAATTATAATCAGCAATCAAATTGTATTTTGTATTAATTACGGTTTAGAAATAATGATTCACTAAAAAAGCTATAGTCTTTAAAAATTTCAAGGCGAATAACAACAGTTCCCTGGTACATAAACAACCAAATTTTACCTACCTACTTACAACAGCCAATTATAGGTCGACACATCCACAACAGACTTATGAGCATGGTCAAGGGTGACAAGTGGTGATTGAAAAGTAGCTGGATGGGAGATTTCCTTTCCTGAATTAAGTAAGTGAACTAATTATAGGAAGAGGTGCTGATGGGTTCTACCCTTCCTCATGCCTATGATGCCAATCATCCATTACAACAAAAAATCTCCTGATTATCACTATCATGACCGGCGCGGTTAAATATTTAGAGAGAGGAAAAAATTATTCTATGTAGTAACATAATAGCAATGAGTACTTTTCAATCTTACTTTGTTCGACTTCTTCCACGTCCTAATTTTTGGCGAAAAGACATCACAGCGTCAAGAACGTGATTTTTTTTATCCTCATCTTTCTCGTCAGGGGTGAGGGCGGGGGATTAATTCCAGAATTACCGGGACGCGAACAGTAATTATTTATTATATTAGTAATTATTTTATCATATTATTTTCAGTTTATCAGGTTGCTTGTCCAGTCCTATTATTGAAATTTTAGTTTACATTTAAAGCAACGTATCCTAGGTTTTTATGATTCATTCATGTGTACTCTTCCATTTTCACGTGAAGATTTTATCACATCCCCGTGGCAGATATAAAGCATTGGAGAATTATTCAATTGTTTTTGTCAAGTTATTTTCAAATGCTTTCCTAAGTAAAAAAAAAAAAATACATATATAAATTTATTTTTGTTTATAGTATTATATAAACTTTTATGTTAGTTTCTCGTTAATAAACACTCATAATTTTTGTAAATAATATAACACGATTTTTTTTTGGGTGGGGGGGGAGGTAGAGAGTCCATCGGTCTTTTCTCGAGCAGAATGGAAAATCATTGCTTATGGATAATTGAAGTCGTTCTTTTATTGAAGAATATCGAAAAACCCTTATCCGTCTTTCGGCGTATTCTTGCAAAAGGGGGGGGGAGGAGTTTTAACTAAATTTCAAATCATCGATTGAATTGAACTTAGAACCCAATTGGATTGATGTTGGGGTCAATCACAATCTTTCTCGACCATCCCTTTAAGGTATTTTCAAGTTAGTTTTATTAATTTGGTTGGTCTTTACTATGTTTATGTCAATAAAACATTTAAATATACCTATTCTGTAGCGTTTTCTAAGATCTAAAATGATATGTTTAATAAAGGGGAGTAACCTGATAGGTAACCCCAAGACTCTTGTGAGACTGTTGCCTAAAAACAAGAATACGACTGAGACTCGTCTTAAGATTATAATTTTTTTTTTTAATTTGGTTTAAATGTTTAGTGCTGTAATCGAGCCAAAACACGTTTATTTTCAGAAATCAAATTTTTTTAATACATAATAATTTAATAAAGTTTCTTCTAAACTCTATATTGTTTTATTATTTTCAATAATATGATCGACCAAAACATTCATAAACTTAAACTCCTCTCAAAATTTGAGGTTTCACGTTTCAGAATGCGTAGAATTCGAAAAACGAATAATTTTTTTTTTGTCCGTCCGCCGTACGTCTTCTGCCTTCCGCCGTCCGCCGTTTTTTTTAGCATATTACTAATGATTAAAAAAAAAGTTTAGTCCAATAATTGGAATCACTTTTTATTTATTTTTCTTTGTAACTAGGAAGGTAATGTTACTTTAGATGTATAGTTGTTTGGAAATAATAAACCATTGTGAAATAATTTGCAGCGTTTTTTTTTTTTTATATTCGGTCATCTTACCTTGACCTGTATTAGACTAGGGTCTTTATTTTATAAGATACAGTGTATTTTTGTGGTATTCTAACTTACGTCTTCTAAAGTAGTTGTAATAAGTCTTCTTAACTTGGATTATTCAGCTTCAGATTCACACTCACTAGTTTTTACCAAAACCGTTCTATTGGGCCATAAAGTTCAATATTTGCAGTTGTGATTTTGGTTAAAGACATATTTGTTTTGAGAAGTCGAGCAGAATTAGCATTATCATTTCATAATTTATATGAAAAAAGCAAATGAAATTATGTTTTGAAAACAATGGAAGGGGAGAAGGTAAGAGAAGTTTCGTTATTTCAAGATTCCAAGATGCCTGAAAACTATTTTTTTTTTTTTTGGAAAAAGGTGTAGGATGGCTTAATGGTCTAGGTTATCCAAGAAAGCTCTTTCTAGTCCCCTCCTTCCGCGGCAACTGAGGCCGCATCACTCGCGAATATGAAGCCCGAGGACAGGTAGTACCTTGAGAGCGCTAGGTGCCTTCGAAGATGGCGTTTACTGGTGGAAGACTCCGCTAGCGAACAAGGAAAACATTTTAAAGCCCTTTCTGTTCTTGCCGATAGGACGGCATCAGAGGTGTAGTTCCGCTCCATCGGAGGCTAACCCCCCGAAAAATGGGACTCGGGGGGTGATTTAAACTGTACTGTTCAATGGATCGGCAGGGATCGTCCCTTCTTCTATTGTTTTATGGCCTTTTCCACACTCTACTCGATTTATTTTATCTCGAATCTTGCGGCGATAGTCATGTGTTAGGGCATTACCTTGGATTTCGGATAATAAATCTAGTGTAAATAACGAATACTCTTATGAAAACACTTATTACCAGGTAACGCAAAACTATACTTGTATATATCATTAAATTTGTATTCAAATAATACAAATGTCACTCCAATCAACTAAGTAATCATATTGTCCAATACAAATCAATAAATATGTAATGCATGCAAATCACACAACAGCAATGGTATTGACTTTTCCCTTGCATGAATTATAGACTAAACTATTTGCTACAGATGTGTATGCTCAACATCTGTTTGATTCTATTAATCAATGGATTGGAATAACATTTATAATTTAATTTAGTTTGATTCGTAATAATATGCATTTATAAAATGTGTCTTGTTGGACAGAATAAAGTTATATTATAAGGTGGCTTAAAAAGGAAATCATAACAATAATAATGTAAATCTGAGTCAACCTTTTAACAAATACGAGTTCAATTTTTTTTTTGTCGATTTTTGTCGATCTATGATGGTTTATGGTTTTCCATGGCATGTTATCTGTATATTCTATCGTGGGTTATATTTATTCTATTTTACATTTCTTTAATTTTTAGGAAAGAAATATTTATTTTTAGTTAACATTTCAACAATCATGAATTATAGATTTGTTTCTTTGTTGAAGTGAACAAAGTGATAAATCAAAATTTCTGATACTTCCGAGAATATTTAATCAGCTAGTTGTCCCGTTTCACGCTATGTCGTTCAATATGGAGATGGTAATTTAGCATGAAGAAAATAAAATCCACTGTAAATGAAAATTTTTTCCCTCGATTGCTCACAATGGTTCATTACAGATCATGATAAACCAAAATATGTGAACTAATTCCAATAGGCAGTATGATTACTAATGAGAGCCTGATTTCATTTTTTTTTTCGTTTTGTTGGGAATTTAGGACTCTTCTAAATTATTTTATTATTCTTAACCGTATCTTGAAAGTGGTAGGTTATACGACTTTAAAATACGTCCCGAAGGAACCTTACCGAATGTCGATGTCCGTGTCAATAGCTTTGAATTCATGGCATTTTGTCCCGTCTCGATCTTTACCACTGTGTCAGTTTTGAATCTTGGTGAACTCTTTAGTTTGAGTTAATTTATTTTTGAAAGAGAAATTGAGATCAAGATTTGCACACCCCCTTCAAATTTCGAATCCAACGATGTACCATTCATGGCATTCAAACATGGCAGGAACTCATGTTTGGTTCAGAACCGATTCCAGACATCAGTGAAATAATGTATGTGAGATTAAAGGGTTTGTTTTATTATTATTCCGGAGTCTTATCATATAGATAATTAACTATGTAATTAAAATAATATTGATTTAGAAAAACAAATATAAAGTAATACGATCAAGATGTATCAAAGTATGATACTAGCTTATCCTAGACATGCACTAGTCACTATATAACCCTCTAATCCGATCTGAGTGCCTTAGTAATGAAATGGACGGGAGTGGTTTTATCAATAGAAGGCTCATTTCAAAGCTCGGTTGTCACATATTTCATGTATAGCCTCACTTTACGAGCAATATACCGAGAACAATATTACGAACAAATCGTCTGACGAAGTGCAGCAATTGGAACCTACACGGTAATTGTGTTAAGTTTCTTCGGTACTTACAGTTTAGTTTCTAGTTACGTATGGACTAGAAGGCTGTATAAAGTTTATTGGATTTTAAATGAAATTGTACCTTTTTTGTAACGCTAGTAGTGTGATAACTTTTATTTAATTATTAATCGGCAGAATAATTAGCAGTTATTAAATCTTAAATTCAAAATTACAGCTATTGCTTGAGGTTCATAAAACAATGTAATAAAATAAAGGAGTCCATTCCACTAAATTATTTCACAGATTATGAACTTTATCTTATACAAAAAATTAACATTTTATTATTTTTTTTTATTTAATATTTTAATGAAAATGTATTTTTAAATTTTTTTTTATATGTGAAAAAATATTATTACTTCAATATTTAAAAATTAATTTTTAAATGAAGAATAGTTCTCTAATGCATAAATGTGTAGCCTCCTTTCTGTTTTGGTCGTATATTTGTTTCATAAAAAGTCTTAAAGATAGAAAAAAAAAACGTCTGCAAAGTAAGGTCAGTATAGCTTCCTCACCGCTTTCATTCGATAAAAAATTTATATATTACACGGTCTAAATATTTTCCTATGGGAATACGATCTCTGGTAGTTACCGTTTGTGTAAATTAAGTAAGCCCTCAACATACACGGATTTGATATCCACGAATTTTGTTTATCAGCGAATACTAAAATTGAAAAGAACTCCGCATTTGCAGGTTGCATATTTGATGATTCGAGATTAAAAAAATAATTCCAGTGCATATGGCTACTGTTAGTGCAATAGGTCGCATGCGAAAATTGAAAATTGAGTGTTTTACAGGAGAGCGTAGAAACTAATTATTTTTTCATGATTTATTAGTATAATTTCATATTAGCAGACTGCTTATATCAGCTATAGACTACAAAATGTCACCTTAAGTACGAATAGAATAAAAGTTTCAAATTTTCACATACGATCGATACGATTTCACATACGATCTCGATTTTTTCACTAACAGTAGTGAAATATACTTAAAAGGTACGTTTTCATTAGTAAAATGGATAGAAAAAATACAACATTTTCTTTCGTCTGATAATATGTCAATGACAAATGGGATGTGGAGGTCATAATATAAGGTCTTATTTGTGGCATAATATGGAGCATTGACTATTGTTCTAAGTATAGACTTTAGATTGGAAGGATTGGATGCATCTGATATTCTAACATCAGCTGTCCCCACAGTTAAAGTCAATTTGTCCAAATATGTTTCAGTGTGGTTTTCTAGATTAGTAGTTTCAATTGGAAGATCAGATGTTCTATTTAGTAGACTGTAGACCTGGCAAAATCGTTGGTTAAGCTGTTTTCTTTTAAGTCGGGTATATGAGTTCCAAATTAGTCTTCAATGTAGATGATTTGAATAATTGTCAAACGAATATTATCAATCCACCGATAGATTTATAGTTTTGAGATATAAAAAAAACGTATAACGGGGTTCTAATTTCCAAGGGAGCTTAGAATTACAACATTCATAACGCTATATCTCGGCAACAAATTGTCCGATTTCATTGGGGAAAATCTTATCTTTAAAACAAATATATAAATGATCAACGAAAAAGTCTTGCTTTTTGATTTATGTGAAAATAAAATTTTGTATTCATAAGGACTTTTTTCCAGCCCTTATCTGTTACTATTATGAGATTTACACTAAAATTCATAATTTCAAATTGACACTTCCAGAAACTATTTGATATTGAAGTATATATTTGTTGTTAAATATTACAGTAATGTGCCAAAGCTTAAGAAAAATTGTGAGTGGAGGCAGAATCAACAACAACGGTCTTACAAGAAAGGGCAATTTGTATCCATTTATTATTTACTGAGTTTGGGACATAAATGGCACGGCTTCCGATCCTCGATGGTACACCATTATAGTCAGGATGCGATGAGTGTTTCAAAGACGCCTTCCCCCGACCCCATATCGGACCCAGAATGTATGCTAGGAATTTATCAAGGATGTGATAGCTATCCTTGGTTACTATAGCTCGCAGAACATTCTCTACCATAACTCTGCGATCTATCAAGTCATTCTTATCTCTTATACTGCACACAATCCTTTTAGAATTACGTCTGTGCTGAATTCTATAAACGAGGTTATTGTGTAAACATAAATAAAATAATAACCTCGTGTCTAGTACTGCTATACATGCATGATCACAATGTATTTAACAACATTTTCAGAATTTATATAGGGTAACTTTAAATCACCCTATTTCAATTAATTTTGTTTTTCGACATTTTAGATATCTGTAATTCCTTTTTGCCCCTTATTCCCTATTTTATGGTAATTTGAAAACTATAATTATCATTTCTTTGGTCATTTTCAATCTTCTTTTCGACTGAAACGTGTTTTGGAAAAAAGTCTTTGACAATTTTGTAGATATAGAATCAAAATGAAAACTAAAATAATGAGGATGATTTTTTTCTACATTTTTAGTCTATCCATACCTGAGTGCAGTAATAGTGTAATCGCTAGAGTGCCTGCCTAATAATATCAAGGTCCCCGGTTAATGAATTGGATCTTATATATAGTTTTTGGGCGCGGAGTGGCCGAGCGAGCTAACGCGTGGCACAGTTCCATGCGTTGCCCGACAACCCGATGACCGAAGTTTGAGATACAAAAATAATTTCGAGCCAGGAGTTCAAATTCCTGTGCCCGATGGGACTTTCAACTCGGCATTATTTCTCCACTCTCTCCTCTGACCCGGGAAAAACCCATGTAACCTAAAATGCAAGCAAAGGTTTTAACTAGGGATTAAAACTAAAAGCACGTCATGTCTGTTAATTATATGTTAATATGTCCGGGCAAGTTAGTATGGAATCGCTTGTAATGTGACATTGTAAACGGGTGTATCGTAAATGTTACAATGCAAAGTAGATGGGCCAGTATTGAACCGCCAAGTCTGGAAGTATAGAAGAAATTTCTGAGGCCTGCCGAACAGAGAAAAATCTTCCGTAAAGAAAAGATTGAAGAATCAGGAAGTATCTGTGTGGTAGTATGGACTTGAGTTTGAAGAGAAGACTCTAGTGCCGGACTTTGTCAAACGCCTGAGCGTACAGCTTTTCACCAGTTACATTAAGTTTTTGTTCCAAAGCTCCAGGAATGTTGTCTGTAAATCTTTGTAATTGAAGTAGTTGAATAGAATGTGCGAAAGCCAAACTGATGGTCAGGTATGTCTACAAGACTTTTCAATATTAATTTATTAAATATTTTGAAACATATTGGAAGAAGGCAAAGTAGTCTGTAGGCTGACATGTCTTTACGTGGTTTGTGAATCATTTTAATGAAAGAGTATTCCATTGTAAAGGAAATTTTGATGTCCTTAGAATACAGTTGTAAATTGTCAGAAATGCTAGAACTTTCCTGGTCATCTGTTGGAGTGGTTCGGCTATAATTAAGTCATAACCAGAGGCTTTAGATATGAGTTTTGAATTTGAATATTAAA